TAATTTTATTTTAGTTTTTTTAGTAAAGTAATGCTTTATTTATTATTAAATTAAAGTATAATAAAATAATTAAAATAGTATAAAATTTAATTTAGATTATTCTTTATTAAAAATAAATAAATTCTAAAGATTAGTTAAAATTTGAATAATTTTTATTAGAAGCAATTATTAATTTTATATTAATATACTAATCTTTTTATACTGAATTATAATATTTTTATACTGAATTATAATATTTTTATAATTTTAATATTTTTATTATAATTTTTATTTTATATTAATATTAAAAAGTATTAAAATATAATTTTATAAGTATAATAACTTTTATATTTATTTTCTTATTGAGATTTATATTTTTTTTTATTTATATTATTTTCATTTTTTTTAATATTTTAAATTTTTTAAAATATATATATAAACTTTTAAATTTATTTTTTAATATTTTATAAATTTTTATATAAATTCTTTTTTTATTTACTTTTTTATTTTTATATATTCTATTTAATAATATTAATAATATATATTTAATTTTAGCAAAATCAAATTAAAGCTTAAAAAACTAAATAAATTAAGAGATATAATCAGATCTTTTTATAATTATTATACTTAAAAAAGCAAAATTAAATAACTAAAGAGAGATATAATTATAAAGATATTTTTTTAATTATAGTTAATTAGTAACTAAAAAATAAAGATGATTATAAAAAAAGATGACTATAAAGAGATATAACTATAAAGAGATCTAACTATATTTAAATTTGCTTTTTACTTATAAAATAAAAGTATTTTTTTTCAAAAAATCTAATTTAATTACAAAATTATTTTATATTATAATTTTATAAATAAAATAATAATATATTATATTATAATATATAATTAATCTTTTAATTATAAATAATATAAGTTTTTATATATGTATTTTTAATATTTAAAAAACAAATTTACTTAAGATTATAAATAAAAAATTTTAGTAAAAAATTTTATAAATTTGTATTTTATATTTAAAGAATTAACTTATATAAAATAATTTTAATAAGTTATTATATAATTAATTTTAAATAAATTTATTTATTATATTATAAAGAAAATATTATTAAATTTTTATAAAAATTTAATATTTTGTTATTAAATAATAAAGTAAAATATAATTTAAATTATTTTATAACTTTATAATTTATATTTTTCTTATAAAAAAATAAAATATATATATAAATTTTATAATTAATTAATTTGCAAGCTAATTTTTTGAATATATTATATAAATTATAAAAGATTATACTATACTTTTTTATTATATAATTGTAAGTAAACTTATTTTTTAGATATATATAAATATTTATATTATTTATAATTAGAAAATTAATTGTACTTTTTTTGTATATATATAAAACTAAGCTACATGCAAATTACAAACAAACTTAAAAATAAAAATAAAAATTACAAGCAAAAACACAAAGAAATTATAAATAAATTTACAGACTAAAAATCTAATGAAAGTACATAACAAGTACAATAAGATATGAATAAAAATAATTATAATTAATAAGTAATAAATAATTAAAGAAAATTTTAATCGTAACAAATTTCTTCATCGATTTGAGCTCTATCAAAAATATTAAGCATCAAAGCTATTTGATTAATAAAATTTTGAGTTACGGATAAGCGATTTTTTAATTTTTCGCGCGAGACGATCTCGCGATTTGATTGGCCGATTATAAAATCACGTGCGTCGCAATACAATACAATATCACATTATATTTAAATCTGAATTCATTCGGAATTTAAAAATTTGATCGCAAAAAAGAATTTTTGTAAGGAATTTTTATTAACACACCAGGGTGTAAAATCGATTTTCCGGACACGGGATAATCCGATCATCAATTAGCCAATGAAAATTAACGTAAACGCTCTAATAAAAAAATTTCCTCGTGTGCAATTTTACTATAATATAATCTTAAATTAATCCTAATCCAAACCCGAACATGATTTGTGCTCATCCCGTATTCGGAAAATCGATCTTACAAAATTTTTCCGTATGACTTTTTTGCTCGGGTGTTACGGGACAATCATTACTAATAGGAGCACCGAATATTCCATAATAATAATCGCAAGATTTTCGTTGTAACAATGATAGAAAATGCAAATTTTATCTTGGTAACGACAAAACAAATCTTTTCGACCAGTGTTCATTTTTTTAAAAATTTGTCTTATACTAAAAGAGGCTCGTGGGCTGAAAAAGAATGAGCAGGTGGTTAATTCTTGCCAATTGGGATATTAAGAGACAAAATTGTGAATGTGAGGTTGGTATTAAACAATTGATTAATTGATATAGTGCTCGAATTTGCCAAAAATTATTATAGTTGACAAATAATCGATAGGTCTTAGGTGCCATTTTGTTTAAAAACTGGATTCATGTTGGCAAGTATTTGATTCGTTGTGAAAAAATCATATCATAACTTGGAAGATTATGTAAAAAATTGTTGATACGACTGCTGCTTATCAATATTATTAAGATCCTTTGTTTCTATTACCCAAGACTCTTCTTCTTGAATAAGTGTTTGTTTTTGACTGGATTATTAAAATCACTATCAATATTGGAAAATCCATCTCCAGCCGTACATAATAATTTTGTCTTTTTGCGCGCGAGCGAAGAGTAATACGCCTTGACAAAGTCTGGCTCTTCCTTCTATTCTTTGAAATAATTAAAGAACTTTCATTGATAGATAAGTGCTGTGAGGATTAAATTCTTTGACAAAGGTATTTCGATAGTTTATAAACTATATTTGGAGCTTTTGACGGAGAATTGTCATTTATTTTTTTTTGCAATCACTTTAGCCTAAGTGAGATTCGGTGGAAATAGCAAAATTATTTTTGCAAGAGGTTTTCATATAATGCTAATTAATTTCCGTGTATTTTATGTAAAGTTGAAATAGAAATTTCATAAGCAGTAATTTTCAGCGTATCTTATTTAGTAAAAAAAATAAGATTATATTTAGTTTGCATTTCTTTCTAAAGAAAATTCTATAAACAATAAATTATTCTATTTTTGCGTAATCATAAAGCTACACGCATAATATAACATTTATTAATAACCTCAAATTGAGAACAATAGCTATAAAATCACATTTTATATGAAAACGAAAAGTGTGTTTGTTTTTATTCGTTCCTGCATTCTTAAAAATGTATGCGCCTTTCCTGCATAAGAATATACATGTATATACTCAATTCAAAGAACCTTTGTTAATCTTATCTTATAGAGCTGTTGTTGTCGTTACTATTACACCTTTGTGTATTTAGGTGCTCGCATCACATATGTTTAAGATGATGCGAAACCCGAAAGAGAAAGTTCGTGTTAATTTTAAAGTTAATTAAAAAATAGATTTCTTTAAATCAAAACTTTATTTTCTTTTAACAAAACCTTATAAGTAGTCTCTTCCGGAGAGCATGTAATATGCAAGCATAGAAAGAGAACTTTTAAAGAATTCGCCGGGATCTTGTATCACTAAAAGATATATCTGTCTATATTATCTATACCTTTATCTTTATAAATCTAAATTATCTATGTACGCATACAATGTGAAAAAAGATAAATGCTATTTGCTCTGGATACATGTATGTGATTGTGCGACAACTACCGGTAGAATCTTCGATACTCTGTGCCATAGTTATTTTGAGATAAGGGAAGTGACCGATAAACTATGGGGACCCTACTCCTGAGACGATCAATTTCTGAATTCGGATTTGCAATCGAACAATTCGTGCTTGGTTTCTGATCACATGCACTTCACAGACCAATAAAAATGCACGAATTTTTGATCAATCCAAAAACAGAGATAATTTTTAAATATAATTTCTAACCCTAATCCTAACTAATCCCCTTTTTAATAGTTGTCAGCTCACATAAGATTTGCGTGTGGCCACCAAATTTCCGGGGGGGGGCAATTATGTTAACGAGTGCTGGACTGAGTCACACAGTTATCGACTAAAAAATTTTATAGATTTAAAAATATCATTGTGTTGAACCACATTTATATTTTTTTCCGACGTGAATGATAAGATCTCAGGTAGTACATGTATAAATAAACATTCTTGTAGTGACACAATTTAGAATAATGGACAAGTAATAAATTATTGTTAATTGTTTGCTTCTAGTGAGAAGTTGCATTGCAATTTTAGACATGATCACATTGATATGCGCATAGAAGTCTTTCCTCTTTTCCGTAAGAAGAAATATATGAATGAATAGCTTTTTTTTCCTTTTTAAAACCTGGTGATAGTTTTTTTTTGCTATTTGGAAAATAAGTTGTAATTGTTTTATGGATTTATTAAATACATTTAAATATACAAGTTATTGCTACATCCATTAATGTGAACTCTCTAAATGGGTAGATTGATTGTACCCGTTTTTCTCGCTTGCATACGGAATAATTTTAACGTTAATACCTTTTGTAGGGGATGCTTGATCATAATGATAATAGCTATCATTGTCTGATTGATCTAGATCCATATAATTTCCAAACACGTGAGGTATGACTTGGCTTTCGTCATCAAAAGGTAGGATTGAAGTCGTTAAGTTTGGCTGCCATGAGATTTCCAATAGCTGATCTTCATTATAGTAGCAATCGTGGTGTGGACCCATATTATATTCGAACATATGAAAGAAAGATTGGCTTTCTTCGTTAAGGATGTCGTGAAAAGGTGTGATTGTTGTCAGGTTTTGCAAAAAAGGAGTGCTTGGAATAATTTCTGCGATTATCTCTGAACTATTAGCTGAAAAATTTTTCATAATTTCGCTCGCCGGACCATCTTTGTCCGTGATATAAGTTTCTTTGGATTTGTCGTTACTGATGACCGTGTTCTTAAGGTGGTTGTTGTGGTTTGAATTCTTGTGACTAGACCTGGAATTCGAAGGTTTTCTCATTATTGTTTTTCGATAGAGTGAATTTGGAGTTTCGAATTTAAACTTATATTTAGAAGTCTCCAATTTTTTTGGTGTTTTATTCTGAGCATTATTCCTAAGCTCTTTCGAAATTTGTTCAAATTCATGTTTAGTTACGTCGGGAAGATTTTTCCAATATACAGCACAAAGCTTTGAGATCTCGTTTGCTTTCATGTGGCAGTTTCGCAAACTTAACTCTAGAGTATATACTTTTCGAAAGAGTATAAATGCGTTCGGTATTCTTTTAGTAGGTTTTTTCACTTTGGAATTTTCTATAAGTGAGTCGAGAGCTTCACGAATAGGACGAGTGAATTTAATTTCTGCCATTATTTTTTAGTCATTACAATGAAAAAATTTTAAATTAGTTGCTTCTTATTACTTGGAATTTTAGCAACAACAAAGAGAGCTTAAAAAAAACTCCTTTCCAACAAAAATTCGTTATTTTATATTAAACAATTCCCGTATGCAGATTTTTGCCTTTTAGAATCTAATAATGTGTCTTCAAACAGTTAGTGTGACCAGTTCCAAGTACATATACATGTATTACGGCTTTCTAATTTGCGCCATATATCAAAATGCTATTCCTACCTTCTTATTCTGGTTAATAAATATGCTGATCATAAATTGAATTTTATAAGCTAACAAAGTCAATGCATACATAATACGAAAGAAAATTGTGCAGCAGTTACCTCATCAGATCAAGGAAACTTAAGATTGCCACTTTGCAAATACAAATATTGGCCAACCACATGATAACGCTAAATCAGCATATCAAACGTAAATAAACAGGATTTTTAGGTTCTTTGAGCTCTTGTATAACATTTTCAGAAGCTTTTAAACGTAAGTAACGATGAAAGTCGCTATGATATAATGGGTTCCGTCATACTAGTCTTTCACTATGATATCTATATGAAATATTGCTCTTAAAGGTGATTAATCTTATATATTTCGGGTGCTTATTTCCATATAAATATACACAGCGAACCTGGATATAACGAAGTGGTCCGTTCCACCTATTTTTTTCGGTATAACCAGGTTTTCGTTATATTCAGGTAGAAAATTATATTAAAAAAAATTTTGTGCATCAGAAAACTTCATTATAAATGAAAATTCGTTTTATCCAGGTTTCGTTATATCCAGGTTCACTGTGTATAATCATTTTTTGGCTCCAGATAATTATTTAAATTCAAAAAAAATAAATCTATTTCTTTCAAACAAATAATCATCAGATATTAAATTTACCCTCAATATATGTTCAATCAAACCTCATTACATACCGAATCAAACTATATAATCGTTATTATAACATATTAGTTGTGACATTTTCCCTTTCTGTACAAACGAAGTCATATTAACGAGGGTTGACCATATCGATATAATCTGTTTATCTGTAAAAGTTCATGTAATTTGAACAAAAGCAGATATGTTTATATCAACACAGATACCAGTCGTAATATCTGTAATTGGTTGCAACCATGGCTGGTGACAATTATGTGCCACAAGCCACAAAATTCTATAAGCAATAAAAATGCGAATATCTCAAGTATCTAGTGACTGAATGAATTCGGTATCATTTAATTTTTCCAATTGTAATGAATTGAAATTTTTTCTTTTCGAATTACTAGATACTGAAATATTTTTCAATTAGGGAAATATATAGAAATTATCCTTTATAGCTATTTAAATAAAATTTGATATTATTTGATTTTTCTAAATAAAATGAATTAAATTTATCGAATTAATTCGATTTGAATTATTAAATACTGAGATATATATTAATTAATGAAATAAATAGAAAAATATCCAGTAATTCAAATTAATATAATTTGAATCTTTAAAATAAGACAAATTAATCGTATCACTAGTAAAAATTGGATTTTTTTATGTTTTCAGAATATTTAGAGTGTCAATTAACATAAATTTCAAACTGTTTGATTGTAAATAAGTTTTTGACTCATTCTGAATATCTTTTTAGAACATTTTAATAACACTTTAAAGAAAGATAAGTTTGCTTCATATTTCAGATATCTTTCTTTTTATAGAATAAAAAACTTAATACATCCAAAAATTTGATCTAAATTTCACACAAATACATTATAATATTATTTATATGCATATTATTATTAGCTTTCAATACAGTTTATTATTGAATAAATTTAAGTATAACATATACTTATATCTGAAATATCAATTAAAATATATATTTTTGTGAAATATATGTTCTGAATCTAACTTTATAAATTTATAAATATTAAAATTATTTTATTTATAGATTTTTGAAATATATAGAGGTTTAATAAATATAAATTTTTATAAAATTAAATTCATTAAATTTTTAATTTTTAATACTTTGATATAGCTTGGTATAAAAAGATTAATACATTAGATAAATATTAATAAATTATTTTTTCAAAATAAAATTTTAATTCTATCTTATTTAATTAAGTTATTAGATATTGAAATTTATTTAAATATAAAAATTTTTATTATATATCTTTTAGAAAAAAATTTTACTAATAATAGACTTTTTTGAATTATTATTTCTTTAAATTTTATTATATAAAATTTATTAAAATTAATATAAAAATTATATAGTAAATGATTTAATTATTATAATTATTAATTTAATTTTTATGAATTTAAATATATATTTATCAAATTTAAGATAATTTACTTGCATAATTTAAATTTTTAATATTATAAATTAATAATAATAATATTTAAAATATTATTTTTTTTAAAAAATTTTATTTTAGTTTTTTTAGTAAAGTAATTATTAAATTAAAATATAATAGAATAATTAAATAATATAAAAAGTTAATTTAAATTATTTTTTATTTAATATAAAAAAATTATAAAATTAGTTAAAATTTAAATAATTTTATTAAAAATAATTATTAATTTTATATTAATTTATATTTTTTATTAAAATAATATATAAATATTAATTATATTTTTATATAACTTTTAATTAATTAATATTTTATATAAATTAATATATATTAAAATTATTTATATATATTAAACTCAATAAAATAAAGTTACTTTAAAATAAAATTAATCTAAAATAAAGAATTTTCTTGTTCTAAATTTTTAATATTAAAAATATCTCTATAATATAAATTTTATTATAAAATCTTAATAAAACTATAAGATAAAGTATATTCTTTCATACTTCTAATAAATGAATCTCAATAAGTTAAAATATCTCAATTAGTTAAAAATTTATTTCTTTAAATTAAATAAATTTCCATTTAAAGAATATATTTTATCAATAATCTTAATGTTTATCTTAAAAATTATAAATATTACTACTGATTTTTCTATTAAGAATAAATATAAGAATATATTTAATTTATTATTTAATAGTAAAAAATTCTAATTAATTATAAAAAAAAACTTTAATAAGATTATAAAAAAAGAAATTCTATAAAATATTCAATATGTACTTATATTAAAATCAAGAACTTGCAAAGAAATTTTCAATTAGTTCTGCTATAATAACTTTAATTATTAATAAAAAGACTAAATAATTATTATTAGATACAATCTTTATTAATATAAAAATTAAATGATATAAATTATTTAAATTTTTAACTCTAGAAAAAGCTCTAATAATATAATTAAAAAATATAATAAATAATAATGAGTTAATATCTGATTATATTATACTTGAAAAATCTGTAAATTTACTATATATCTTGATATTTATAATTTTAATAACTTAAATAGATAGCTGAAAAAATTCAAAAACTAAAATTATATTAAAAAATATCACTATATAAAAGAGACAAATAGTATACTATTAAAAGATTTAGAGAATTATTATCAAAAACTAAGAAAAATTACTTTTGCTTATAAATTATATAATATTTTTAATATTAATAAAATTATATTATTTTAATAAATAAAATCTATATAAATCTTATTAACTTAATCTATATTTAATATAAAAAATCTAAAGAATATATTATAATTTTTTTGATATATAATATAATAGATGAGAAAAAATTTCTATCTTTCTTTATTTATAAATTTGAAAATTCTCATCTAATCAAAAATTTCAAAAAATCTAATTTATTAATTTGGTATTACTAAAATAAAAAGGTATAAATATAAAATTTTATCTTTAATCATTATCTTAATAGAATAAATTCTCTTATATAATGATAAAAATGAAATATTCTTTTACTTATTGATAATATTACTTATTACTTACTTTATAAAGATACTTAATTATTTAATAATACAATATATTATCTTTCTTCTAATATTATAACTTATTTATAATTATATAATACTAGAATTATTTATAGTTTTAAGATAAATTTTACTATTTCAAAATTTTTAACTATAAGCTCATTCTAATTTATTATTATATCAAATTTATTATTATAAAATATTCTATTAATCTTATATTATTATTTATAATAAAGTAATATCTATAAGTCTTATCTTATCTCTTATACTGAATGAATAATTTTGATTAGGTTATTTTCCTTTAGATCTCTTTTAGCTTAAATCTTCATTTACACTATCTATATAACAAATTAGTTTTGTATTATATTTTTAAGAAGATCAATTTCACTCTGAATATACAGATGATCATTATATATTTAATATATCTAGATTTAGCACATTATTACTCAGATAATCACTATGTGTATCACAATTATTAATTTAGATTATTAATATTTTTCTTTTAATAATTCTTT